ATTAGTTAACTTTACTTCAGCATCACATCACTGTATATAATAATAATAATAATAATAATAATAATAATAATAATGAAAAGTGCAACATTCACTAATTGTTCATGCAAATCAAGTTACCTTGTTTAAGCATTGCAATTGTAGAGGACTTTTATTATGATAGCATTGGCGTTTGAGGCACAAGTGCTTAGTTGTTCCAGTTTACATTCTGGCGCACTTATTGGTCATGTACCAGTGCTTGGTGACTTTAGCCTTACCTGAAACAGTAAATAATAGCTAAAGTAGGCTGCTTATACAGCAAAATTAAGGAGAAAATTGTCACTGTTATCCATTATTAGGTCATCAGTGCTGTAGGAACCATGATGAGTTTCAATTATTTCATTTCAGCCAGAGACCTTGCAGAGAGGAGAATTACACTCTGTAATGTCTTTCAGGGTTCTCAAACACTAGAGGGCGCTCCCGAGCGAGTCCAAAATGAATGGGTTAAGATGGAGCATTCGAGTAAAATCATAGTTTATAAATGCTTAAACAGTGTAATGTAAAAGAGTACATTTATTTCCTGAACACAGAACAGCATAAAGCATTTTAGCACTGCTGTTATATTTTTAAGTACTTTTAAACTCGAGTTATAGGAGTTTAAAATGGCACCTCATGTATATTCATGACATCAGTGAGTGTGAACAGCCAATGAGCTGCTCCGCTCACCAGCCAATCAGCACCTAGTAGCAGTGATGCTAACCAATCAGCACTCACTAGCAGTAATGCTAACCATTCAGCACTCAGTAGCGGTGATGCTAACATCCTACAAAAGAGGAAATATATAGGTAAATTTTCATTGCTTACATTAAGTGAAATAAATACTTGACTTTCTGAAATTAAAGGAAAGTTCTGGGCAAGAGGTTAGAAACGATTTTAACTTTTTGTTTTTAGCCGTTGAGCTCGTGGGTGTCCTCTGCTGTTTTGCAGTATTGTTTTAGGAATAGCCAGACTCCTCATAAACTGGCTGTTTTGTCTTTGTTAACCTTATACTGTGGTAGCATTAGGAGGGTATGACAATGACATTTAAATGTATGACACCACCTGCTGCTTGTCTTGGAAAACGCTTGCATATTTCAACAATAGTTAACGGTCAGTCAGTCGGTCAGTCAGTGACTCAGTAGGCGCCATTGGCTCTCGTAGGCTGGCTCACTGGGCGGTCCAGCAAAAAAAAAATAAAAGAAGAAAGAAATTACATTCCAAGACAGTATTAATTTGTTCAAATAGAAAGCAGATGACACAACGTCAGGTATAATTTTGTTTTCAGTATCATTTACTTTTTTCTTGAAGTGCATGATTCAAAGAAAGCTTTGATCTTCATAGGAGCGGCTTCACTAAAAAAAACACTTTGCTGAATTTACTTGTGTTCTCAATGTGCGCTCACTTTTTTTCAGCGCTGCCTATTCAGACCGAAAAAGCAACCACAGTGTGAAACAGCTCTGTTCTGCTGGGGTGTATGGCTGGGGAGGAGATTCCTTCTGCGGTGAACCTGTTTTTATACCGATCCAAGACCTGTCTAACTGTTCTATCATTTAGACATTAACATTAGCATTCAGCTGGGTAGACTTCAGCTTTCAGCCCAACACCATTCGGTATCTGCGCCGCACGCCAAGCCAGGATCACACATGCTCTGTTATAAATCCTCACTAACGTGTGTTTGTAACGTAAGAGTGACAAACAGTGCTGTAAATCTATCTGGGGAAGTCGAGTGAAATCACTTCTGCAGTTTTTATACTTACACAGTTCAGGAATAGTCATTTTCACTTCTTTATGGGCGTGTTACTAAACTGCTAGGCCAAAAATGCCCCTGTTAGCTGGGGATTTCCAGACTGAAAACAGAAGAGGGAGATGTGTAAGATCTCTGTAAATGTGTGAGAATAGTCCACCAACTAAAAACATCCAGCCAACAGCATCCTGTTGGCAGCGTCTTGTGACCACTGATGAAGGACTAGAGGATGACCAACACAAACTGTGCAGCAGCAGATGATCTCTGTGAATGGACACAGTGTGTATAAATTCCAGCAGCACTGCTGTGTCTGATCCACTCGCACCAGTGCAACACACACTAACACACCACCACCATGTCAGTGCTGAGAATGACCCACCACCCAAACAGTACCTGCTCTGTGGGGGTCCTCTGGGGGTCCTGACCATTAAAGAACAGGGTAACAAAGTATGCAGAGAAACAGATGGACTACAGTCTGTAACTGTAGAACTACTAAGTGATCCTGTATGGTCAGTGGAGCTGATAAAATGGACCATGGGGTGTAGAAACAAGCCCCTCTGTGTGGAGGCTGTACTTTAGCCTGGCTGGCTCTCACTGTGAGTTATTATCTGCTTCTAAACGCTGCTATATTACACACACCAAGAAGGGGGGATTGTTGTGAAAATTCACAGATGATGTTGCTATGGAAACATGAGCAAATGACCAAAAGCACCTCTCATGAAATGATTGTTATGTTTTACCCTCTCGCCTACAATTTGAAGCAAGTAAATTCAATGCAGCTCTTTTTAAACACTATAGTAAACTAAGGCTTTCTGAAAAGTTAAGTTGTTGACCTTTTGACCTTCGTCACTCTTTTCGTCTTGTTAAATTGATTTAACAATAAAATATCCTGCAGGATCACTGCAAAAACTCTTCCCTTGGCCGACACTGATGTGTTTATGTTCCTATCTCTCTCACCTCCGCTGCAGCGGTGAACTCACACCCAACAGGCCGTCAGTGAGCGTTCTGGGAGTTTGGTTTTGGTTTGGCGGGTTTCGCCGTTCGTGCTGAAATTGTATTCAGACTTCATTCCATGTCATTTCTGCATCATAATCACAAGAGCTGGGTAATAAATCTGCCTCTCTGGCAAATTGAGTTATAGTAATAAAGAATTCACTGTGAAGATTCCCTCGAGGATGGAGCTGTGAGAAGAAATGCGATACAGACTGGAGACGTGGAGCACTGCATACAGAAACATTCATTATATCTGATACAAATGTGCAACATTTACTGCACACCTTTAGACTCTTATTTATTAAGGCTTTATTTGTTTAATGTTGACTCATTTTTTAAAAAAAAGAAACATCTATATATTATTTTACTATGCAGAGATGTATAACAATCTGGTGACCAATTTTCCTCACCCAGAATAAGCCTTTATATTGACTCAATGGGATTGTTCAAGGAGGAATGCCACTGATTTTTCAAAATTCCTGTAGAATTATATGGTTAAGATGTAAACAGAGTCATTCAGAGTGGTTTGGTCGGAAATGCTCCGTTCTAGAGTAACTTACAGAGTCAGAATTGTTCACAGTTGTGGTTATAGGAACCAGACGTCCACCTCTAAAAGCTCCCTCCCAAAAAGTTATTATGTGAAATTGTTATGAATACACTGCCTGATGCCTGAGACATTGTTTTATGATAGTTTTGAAAAGACTTTGGCCTTAAACATAATTTTAAAATTAATTAGCTACATGGACATACATTACTTGGACACATGCAGAGCAAAATAGCCCCCAAGGAAAACTTATTATCTTCACATTTTCCATATTTCCATATTTTAACATCATCAACATTCCATATAAAACTCAGATGACATGTGTAGGTTCACTGGTGGTGGATTTTCATAATGGTTTGGTGTGAAATGGTTCAGATTTCTTTACAGTGGTAGTGATAGGAACGAGGGGTTGCCATGACTACAACACAAATATAGACATTTTACTTACTTTCCAAAACCACCAGTGAATCTGGTGTCTTCTGAGTTTAATATGGAATGTTGATGATGGGAAAAAGGTTGAAAAAAGTTTTCTTTGGGGACTATTTTGCCTCACAACACCCTGCATGTCTCCCTCCACCATGAATGTACTTTAAAAAATATGTTTAAGGCCAAAATCTTATCTTTAAACTATTGTAAAACAGTGTCTCAGACATCAGACAGTGTATTCATAACCATTTCATGTAATAATTTTCTGTGAGGGAGCTTTTAGAGGTGGACATCTGGTTCCTATCACCACCACTGTAAACAATACTGACTAGAACAGTGCATTTTACAACAAAGCACTCTGAATGACTCTGTTTACATCTTAACCACTTAATTATGCAGAAATTTAGAAAAATTGGTGTAATATCCCTTTTATCTGGGTCTGGGAAACTGGTCCTGTAAGACAACATCAATTCAGCACTCTAAAAGTTAATACAACAATGAAAGTGTTATTTATTCAACCTTACTCATATTAACTAATCCTTACTGGAACTGTATACTGTAGATAGCCTGTTTTAATCCAAATTTATTAAAGTGCCTATATCATCCATTTTCCTCACTTTTTCTTGAATAAAAGACTTTAATAGTAGCATGTAAAGCTTCAAAGCATACCCCCCATCCATACAGTCCATATGAAATATGCTGCCATGTAAAATATGCTGCAAAATGCTGGTTTGAATTAATTGTTTATGTGATATACTAATTTAAATATACTTCTTCAGCATTCAGCAGTTCTGCTCCGCCACTCACTCTGAAGTTATAAGGAGTGTTTCAGCCCAAACTGCTTTTTGAATGAGAGCCAATCAGAACAGAGCTCATTTACACATCAGCTTTAAAGGCACAGCAACAAAACAGCCTGGGAAAAAGAGAGTCTGGAAAAGATGTTCAAGAAAAATGAAGTATAAAGGCCCTTTAAAATGAACTCAAAACTAGATGTTAAGATTTAGCTCAAATCAGCCAACATGTTTTCTTGTTGCCATTACCTCATCTCAGATTTGGAAGAAATTCGTCCAAGAAAAAGCCACTGAAGTTCCTGCAGCTCTGAATCTGCTTCCCCCTGTCTTATATCCTCTATCCTCTTGGCATCACATTGTTTTTTTTTCTCAGATAATGTTTTATGCAGCTCAAAATCTTTCCTGTTCCCTGCCAAGAAGAAAAGGAGAAGCAGCAGAAGGCAGCGAGAGAGAAAAAAAGAGAGAAGGAGAAGAAGAAAAAAAGCAGGATTGGGCAATTTTCAAACTGATTGAGCAATTGTGTGCTAGTGTGCCAGTTGCATTGCCATTGGTTGCTCCAGAGTGCAGAAGCTGGAGCCCTGCAGCTTTGCTGCTTTTTCAACAAGCAGTCAGCAGAAGGGGAAGGAGGGACAGGCAGGCAGGCAGGCAGGCAGGCAGCTCGGAGGGAGAGAGATTCAGAGACTAAGCACGAGTCTGTGGCTTTTATAACGCTGTGCGAGCCCCCCTCTGCGCGTGCCATGTGCATCTTTTGGCCCCCCAGGCTGGTGCTGGCCATGCTAGTGCCCATTCTGGTCACGTCCGAGTACGAGTACCTCGGCTGGAAGGACCTGGGGGACAGCTATGGTAAAAGTCCCCAGTGCATGGACATCCCAGAGGACCTGAGGCTGTGCTACACCGTGGGCTACCACCGCATGCTGCTGCCCAACCTGCTGGAGCACGAGACCATGGCAGAAGTGAAGCAGCAGGCGGGCAGCTGGGTGCCCCTCGTGCACAAAAGGTGCCACTCAGGCACGCAGGTCTTCCTCTGCTCCCTCTTCGCCCCTGTGTGCCTGGACAGGCCCATCTACCCCTGCAGGAAGCTCTGCGAATCTGTGCGGGACAGCTGCACCCCCATCATGGAGGCGTTCGGTTTCCCCTGGCCGGAGATGCTCAACTGCAGCAAGTTCCCGCAGGATGATTTGTGCATCTCCACCAACACTACGGACATGCCTCCGTCACCAGGTGGGTCAGCCGGGGTGACCTAATCACACTAGTGAAGCCAGAATGACCTCTGTGCAAAAAAGTGTTATGGCACTCTGTGCTTTATTTTACTGTACATGCAGGTTATGGTCTATTAACCAAGCTTTATCTTAACTTTAGTAAGATTTTACTGTGTGCAATCAGATAACTTGACTAAATAAGAAATGTAGGTTGTCTTGCAATGCTGTGTGCAGTCAGACAGCTCTATGTTACTGCATGCCATCACATTATCTTAGTATATGCAAAGAGTGTTGTCTTATATACACTCCTAAAAAAGCTAATGGTTCTAAATAGCACCAAAAAGAGTTCTTCTATTGTTACAAGCATAGCACAAAACTCTGAAGAACCATTTCACCATGCAAAGATCCATTTAGGCATGCAAAGTGTTCTTTGAGTGTTCATGGTTCTATATAGAAGCATTGTCTTTACTAAGAGATCTTTGAAGAACCATCTTTTTAAAGAGTGTACCACAGAAAAAGGCCTTGTGTCTTCAAAATAGTAACTTTACGGGAGAAGAAAAAGCATTCGTAACTTGTAATGAAAGTTAGTTCAATAAAAAGAATATTCCAAGTAATTTTGGACCATTTCTTTTGATTTGTTCATCATGAAGTTTTAGCACAATGCATAAAGCAAGATCGAGAGATCGAGAAACGAAAAAAAAAAATGATAACGCTACAGTAGAAGAAAAAAATACTCTTAACATATCTTAACTAGCTGAATGGAGATTAATGGAACTTTTTTCCAAGTAATTATGTTTGTCGATTTCTGTTTGCCCATTCATCATCTTATTTTATCACAATATGAAGAGGAGGTATTTTTAAATTATGTCGAAAAATAAACAGCAAAAATGGAGATACAATAAATACATATACACATTATCAGTGAGTGTAATCTTAATATATGTATCAGACTATCTTAAGTGCAGTCAGGTCACTTTGTGTGTATATCACTAGTAACTAGCGTATCATCGCTGTCTAAACAAAACCTTGCATCTCCATTTTTGCCCTTTTTCTTAGTTTTTTACCATGATTTAAAAACACCAGGCTCATTTTACACTGTGCCAAAATATCATGATGAATGGACCAGCAGAAACGGTCCAAAAAGGCTTTTTAAAAAATCCCATTAAATTAACTTACATTAAAAATGACCATTTTGGAGATATGAGGCTTTGCTTTCACAGCGAGGATCTAGCGTAAACAATGAGGTTACCCTTACTGTATGCAGTCAAATCATTAGCTTTATCTCTATGTGCTGTTAGGTAGTTATTATTTTACTATGTGCAGTCAGATAACCTAATGTACGTTTATGCAGTCAGGGAGAATATATGCACTATATGCACATATGTGTTATATGTTTTATCTTACTACATTGTATTTATGCAGTGCCTGTCTTAGACCTGATAGATAAAAAAATAAATACGATATTTAAAATTCAATATAGACATATAACAGACACTTAAAAGAGATCATATAAAAGAGTAAAATGAGAGTTTGATCAGTTTTTATGTGCAGTCAGGTAGATTTACATTCACATATAGTGAATCACTGCTGTCTAAAGAAAAATAAGTATGACTAACATGGTGACTTTATGCAAAAAGGCAAAACATTCTTAATTTTTAAGGTAAGTTAATTGTAAAGAGGTTTTATTCCAAGCAATCTTGGAGCATTTCTGTTGGTCCATTCATCATGAATTTTTTAAACAATGTAAAAAGCAGCTGCTGAGCTTCAGTGATGTAGAACTAAAGGAGAAAATTTACTATATGCAGTCAAATTATCTTATCCTACTACGTTCAATCAGGTAGCTTTATTTGACTATACATAGACGTATCTAATTGTGTGCAATTGAGTTGTGTTAATATGCACTATGATGTAGCTTCATCTTTGTGTGCTATTATCTTATCTTGTGCAATCAGGCACTTGTGTAGTTTTATTTTACTAATAGACCAATAGAAATAATCCAAAATTAAATGGGAAAAAATCTTGTTCCGTCACCTTCCATTCAAAGTTAATAACGTTTTCCTTCTCTTGTAAAGAGACACAAGTTTTTACAGTACACTATTATGCAAATCAGAAAGTCTTGTCTTTCTGTGTGCACTTACACTGGAAAATTATCTTGGCAAGTGAAATAATCTTAGATCTATTCAATATGTCTAATATTTTGAGACTGTTGTAGGAATATTATGAGGTTATTCAGCCTATTTCTAGATCTTTTAACTAGTTTTAAGCTATTTTATCTGGTAAAAAAGCCATTTTTATTGGCAGACTGAAGAAATAATGTCTGAAACAAGCAGAATTTTCAGAGCTATAATGTCATATTACAGGAAGCTACTGTTCTATATCCATTCAGCTGATCTTACTGTGTGCACTCAGGTAGTCATATCCTGATCCGTGCCTTATCTTCAGCAGTTTTATTTCATTATGTGTGGTAGCTTTGGGCTGCTAACTGATATTATTGAACATCGCAAAGTGCCAGTGTCATGCAAACTATCGTTCTTAACGTGCCACGTGTTTTTTCTTCATCTTTATGCAAGTTCCCTTTGTACAATCATTCTAATCTGTGGTTCCTTTAAAATTGTATACAATAGAAAAAGACTGCACTTAATTATAGACTACACAAACAGGACATTACCAACTTAACTGCACACACACGTCCCCTGAACGCCTCTCGGAAAGATTGTAGCATAGATTTTCAGTCCAGGAAAGAATGCCGGTAAATATGCAAATGAGAAAATAAACTCGGCTATATAAGGTCTGCTCTCCGCTAGAGAGTAGGGCTGCTCGATTATGGCAAAAATCATAATCGCGATTGTTTTAGTCAATAGTGAGATCACGATTGCTTAACATGATTATTGACTGACTTTGGAAACATCATGAATTGATTGACCTTTAAAAAAGCTTGATCTATAACAGGATTTCCTTGAACTTTAAATGTAATTTAATGGAAAAACACTGTAAAAAAAAAGACATAAATAAAATGGAATATGGGTGGACTGGATTTATAACACAAGACAAAACAAAAGCATCATTGTGAAACAGAACATGGCACAATAATTGATTACTGATCAATAATAATTTCCAAAATCATAATACAATTCAATCAATCGCCCAGCTCTATGAGAGTGAAAAGAACAAACCCATCCAGATGAAGGACTAACATAGCAGTTTACAAAATTTGTCTTCAAAATATAGTTATAGCTATTAATTATTAAGTAATATTAGAAGCTAGCCGGTAATTATACAGGAATTACAGTCATATGCAAAAGTTTGTGCACCTCAGCCAAATTTTCTGAGTGTAGATAAGTTACACATCCTCTGTAGAGACACACATTTTATTATACTCTTACTGTTTATTTGCTGAATTTAATACACTGGGAAGAAAATAGAAACAAAAATGTGGCCTGTGCAAAAGTTATGGCACATGTGATATTTTATGTTTTATTTTTCTCTATTTCCAAAATGAAAAAGCTGAAAAAGCCATATTTGTTAGTGTTCTCTGTAGAGGATGTTTTCACCCAGAAAACCAACAACAGATGTCATTTAACTGGCGGCATTCAAACTTTACATACAGCTGAACTATGAGGTGGTCTTATCTTTCTTTGTGCTGAGAGGTAATTATTTTATTTCAACATGTAGTCTCACCTCTTTGGAATGGTTCACTCATTCAGAGTGATTTGGTGTGAAATGCTTTAGATTTCCTTACAGTGGTGGTGATGGAAATCAGAGGTCACCATGACTACAACACAAATATAGACATTTTACTCACTATCCAAAACCACCGGTGAACCTACACGAGTCTTCTGAGTTTTATATGGAATGTTGATGATGAGAAAATAGTCTGAAATAATAAGTTTTCTTTGGGGACTATTTTGCCTCACAACGCCCTGCATATTATATATCCCTCCACCATGCATGAATTTTCAGAACCAAAATCTTCTCAAAACTATTGTAGAACAATGTCTCAGACATCAGGCAGTGAATTCATAACCATTTCATGTAATAATTTTCTGTGAAGGAGCTTTTAGAGGTGGACGTCTGGTTCCTATCACCACCACTGTAAACAATCCTAACTCGGTAAGTTTCTCTAGAACGGAGCATTTCACACCAAACCACTCTGAACGACTCTGTTTACATTGTAAACGATATTATGTGCCATCAGAAAGCTTTATTTTATTTTGTGCAGTGTTTGGCTATAACATAATTGGATGCTTTCTCAGGGTTTTTTCCTGGTTGCTGGATGGAGGACTTTTAGTGTGTTTAGATTTAGAGAAGTAGATATGGCTACATTTTGACTTACTAGTTTCATTTTGTGCCTCACTTAAGAAAAGCTCAATATCATAAAAAGTTTTTGAATGGAGATTTTTTTATGTATCGCTGCTGATTGCACAAAATGGTAACTTATGTATATGTATATATATATATATATATACACACACTTTTGGGCGGCTACGTGAACAAGTCCTGTTCTTGGCGAGTCCTGTTATGGAGCAGCAGAGTTTCACTGAGAGGGAGGAGAACAGAATCAGTCAAATAATGTCATATTAGTATGCGAAACCAGGTTACTTTATGTGGAATCAAGAACTTTTATCTTAAATGACAATTCCATCAGTTTTCTGCATTACTTTGTGGCTGAGATGTAAACAGAGTCATTCAGAGTGTTTTGGTGTGAAATGCTCTGTTCTAGAGAAACTTACCGAGTCAGAATTATTCACAGTGATGGTGATAGGAACCAGACGTCTGAAGAGTTTAATGCCTCAACATATGCTGTTGAATAATAGTTTTAGTCTGAAACGCAATTTTAAAATTCATTCATGGTGAAGGGATACATGCAAGAAAATGTATTATTTCAGATTTTCCACTATTTTCCCATTATCAACATTCCATATAAAATTCAGAATACACGTGTCGGTTCACTGGTGGTTTTGGATAGTAAATAAAACTTCACTTCATTTACATCTCACACACTGAACTATTCAGGAATTTTGA